AGAGAGAGAGAGAGAGAGAGAGAGAGAGGGAGAGACAGGGAGGGAAAGGGGATGGGATAGGGAAAATAGAAAAGCGTGAATTAAACACTTCAGTTTTCCATTTCAGTAAGAATTTTACGGCACTTGGAACACAATAAGGTCATATAAGTGCAAAAGAATAGAGGTGTTACAAGAGAGTAACAAGCACAAAAAAGGAGGAGAGATAAGGACGATAAATATTTCAGAGGAAAGAAGGAGAAAATCCCACCAGAGCACCCGCCAACCACCAATGACAAACATTTCATTTCCACTTGAAGGACTTCTGGTGACAAAGGTGCATACATTTTTTTTCACCCTTAAAGATACACGTCATATTCATGCTTTGTATGTCAGTCTATAGATTATGTGTTGCAAGAGAGTAACAAACATAAAAAAGAAGGAGGGGAGATAAAGACGATAGATGTTTGATAGGAAAGAAGGAGTAAACCACACCACAGCACCCGTCAACCACCCAATGAAATATTCTCAGAGAAGAAAATAATCTGTGAAAAGAGCTATTTCTAGCTGCTTTAAAAAATGAATGTATTTGATAAGTAATACTAAACCCAACATGCACTTAAAACAAAAGTTATATCTTTGAGATTTGACTGAGTATATATATAGATGTAAAACCTTAACTGTAAGAAAAAGTCTTATAATACGGGACAAAAGAGACTAAATCCCATCATGAGTAAATGTGAACCGTGCTGATAAAATGAGTTACTTCTCGGATTCAAGCCTTAAGGAAAGAGATCAGATACATTACGCTTATTATATGTGAAGTTTTTACAGTTTACAAGTATGAAACAATAAAAGACAGCTTAAAGGGACCCAAAAAACCCAATAGTTTGGATACATGCCAGATTAGAAGTTAAAGAATATGGCATTAATAGAAAATCTACAAATTTAACCCTTATACTTATATCGACTTTTACCCAATATCTGTATTTGTGGATTGCGAGAAGTAACTCATTTTGTCAGAGTGCTTCACATATAGGACAGATTTATGGTCCAAGTACACGGAAAAGAAGTTGATAGAGTATAGACTAAATTTGCATTTAGTACAAGGGGCAAAAAACCTATAGTTTGGATACATGCCAGATTAGAAGATAAAATATAGGCTAAAAGCACTGTCAGAATTTCAGTCCACACTCAGTCCTCAAAATCTGTTGCTTTAAAAAAAAAAAAAGCCAAAATTTAAGTCAGGAAATGGGCCAAATCTGACGTTAATTACATTTTTTGGCTGAAGTCAGAATGCAGGCAGAAAATGTACATAAAATATGGTTTAAACTCGTTAAAATATCAGCCAAATCTATAAGTTAGAAAGAGAGTCAATACTGCAGCTGTAAGCATTTGAAAATTTGAGACAAATTCGTTTAATAATGAAGGGAAAACGTGATTGAAATAGCAATCAAATTAGTAGTTATAATAATAGGCCTAGTAATGGGAACAATTTGTAGCCACATGAAATGTGTTGGCTTTAATGATACAGCCAATATATAATGTCAGTCAAGTCTCACAGTTAGAGAAAATGTGTTAGATTTACTTTTAGTTTTAGTATGAGTTTTACGGCACTTGCAACACAATAAGGTCATATAAGTGCCGAAGATTAGAGGTGTTACAGGAAAG